ACAGTGAATGCAATGCTACGCTATTATATGCCAGTCGTTTGTAGGCTAGCCCCTTAGTTCGCAACTGTGTTTGTCATTTTTTGCAGACTGTTTCCTACTGTCTTTTTATGAAAGCATGCCTGGTTACGTCCAGGTCACATCCTTGGTTTTCGACTCGAATGACTACCATTCAGTCTTACACTCCATCTGAAGTTTGATCTATCTCACATACAGAAGCCTGCGGTACAAATGATACAATTAATCTTATAGCTCAAGATCCTGGCTCATTGGAAGTCCTCTTCCGGTACCAACAGAACCACTCCTTCTTAGACATTGCAATCTATGTGAAATACAGTAGGTGGGCTAACTCATGAAATGTCAACCGAAATTCCGGAATGAGTTTTCGTTTCGAAGAGGTTAATTGCACAGGATCGTAAAACTAATCATCATACAGCATAATTCCATAAGAGTTCGGTTGTCTCGGGCTACCGGATTTCGAACGAACTTCTTTCCGGCTGCATGCAGAAACTGCACTCTGTAAAGGATGACTGCTTACGCAGCATGCATTTTTCTCATTGATTTTCTATGTCCTTACAGATTTAGTTAAATTTAATGGAAGACATGCAAAAAAATATTCATTCTTTTGTTCATTCGTTAGACAATTACGCCTTCTTCCAATTGTACACTCGAAGGAATGGTATACTTTGGTTTCAAAAAGTTTCTAATTGTGAGATTTTTAGTACCGCGAAATGGCCGTTGATAAACTGTCATGCTCCTGCAGTTAACAATGTGGTTTGTAAAGTTAACAGTATGGCTCAAATTCACTGCTAAATTTTATGATCCCCATATAGTCTCTTCTTGATACTGTTGAGAAATGTGTGGTTTTCCGTACGCGGAAAATATACGGCTTGTAATTTGAAAACCCTGGGTGCAAGTGTAACGGCAGGTCGCGGTTCAAAATTATTAGGGAATCCAATTTATACCCTTTTTCGAGGATAAAATTGGAAGATGACGTCATTTTCTACTAAATATGCAACAGATTGAATATCTTTATGCATGTTTCCATGGAATATAATTGAATATTTAAGGACATCAACAATATATAATAAAAATACATGCCACTCATGTAATCTTTTTTACAGTGTAAGGTTTTTGTATGCAACCGATAAGAGTTTCATCCGAAAGCCGGCATCCGGAGGTAACTGAACTATTATAGAATTATGCTGCAGGATGATCAGTTTTACAATTCCGTTTAATTGATCTTTTCTAAGCGAAAACGCATTTCGGAATTTCAGTTGACATTTCATGAGTTAGGCCCCCACTGTAGGTTACCGACATCGACTTGCAGGCCGGTTGGACTTTAAAAACGAAACAGGCTATCAGTTGCAGGTCTACTATAAATATGTGCAAATATGCGGGGTAGTGCGCAGCATATACGCCTACTATTGGTGCCAAGGCAATTGCCTACAGTAGTAGGGCCGTGCAAACGAATCTGGGGAAAGACGGAGAAACTAAGGCGTATCGACACTTACGAAGCAGTCGCTTCCACATCCTTATTCTATTGCCTCAAGTAAGCCATAATTTGTAGGAATGAAAGGTATCGCGGTGTTGCAAAAGTAATTTTGTTGATCACAGGCAAAGAGGACCACTGTTGCTTCGCAGATGAATTATTTGGGACGTGAACATGGTATTAATTATACTAAGGGGAAACACTGAGGGTATTTGCCGTTTGCCTCTTTGCACAAACAAGTTAATGTCGACCAAAGACTGATAGCAACGCAATCTTTGACTTGTTGCATACGCACGAGTCCCTTCACGCACAAATCGGACTTTAATTAAAGAAGTCTGGAATTTCTCGTGCAATCGTACTGTCATGGAGCGCATACAAAAGTAACTTTTCAAACCCGATCAGGGTTCGGTGTAGGATTTCGTTATGCCTCCAGTCAGTGCCTTAAAAGCTACTTCCGATCGCCTTTTGAAAGCGCAACAGCTTGCTGGAATTAGTATAGGGAATAAAACATGCTCCCAAAGAGAGCCAGATCTACAATGCGTGACCGATCTCATGAAATGCTGACCCAAATTCTAGAATGCATTTTCGATTCGGAAGGATTACTAAGGTGGGGTTGTAAGACTGATTAGCGTGCAGCAAAATCCTTTAGTATTTTGGACTTGCCAGGATGTCGGCTTTTCAATTCATTTCTTTTTGACCTCCCTACAGAAACCGCACTTGGAAAAAAATAGGTACTTAAGTAGCCAAGCATTTTTCCTATTTATTTTTGATGGTCTTATAAATTCAAACACATTTTATAGAAGACATGCACAAAACAATGCTTTCTTTTGCTCCTTTGTTAGAAAATCACGCTGTCCCCATAGTTTATACCCGAAGGAAATGTACATATATAGGTTTTAAAAATGTTTCCCAATTCTCGGATAATTTTGAGCCCGATCGGTTATTGCGTCAGAGTTTAACGATTTCAGTCCGAAAGGTGCATGCTTTCCGCGTAAAGAAAATCATGCATTCCTCCATGTCTTTAAGAAGTTTCTATATAGGGTTCGTGAAATTCTGCAATGGATCCGGACCGTGTTGTACATTTCATGAGGAGCATAAGTAAACGAACATTTGCGGCCCTGTACGCAAGGAGATCGCACGGTCTTAAAAATCTCATAATAAGAAACTTTGTATAACCTAAATATACACTTTCTTCGGGTATACAATATAAAAACAATAGGATTTTCTGCAAAATAAATCAAAGAAAGCATGTTTTGCGCATGTTTTCTAAAAAATGTATTCGAATTCATAAGATCATTGAAAATAAATAGGAAAAATGCACGCTTTTTAGGTAGTCATTTTTTTCCTAATGTGGTTTCTGCAGGAGGTAAAAAAGGACTTCATCCAAAAGCCGACACTCTGGAGAGTCCGCAGTGTTATAGGATTATGCGGTAAGCTAACTTGTATAACAACCCAACCTAAGTAATCCTTCCTAATCGAAAACGCATTTCAGAATTTCGGCGAACATTTCATGAGGTCGGTCACGCACTGTTTCTAACGTTCGACGCATACTAGGAATACATCAAAGTAAATCTGACTGGAGGTGTTATTAATCACAGTCCGCATCACGGCCGAAAGTCATCGTCTATTGCTTGTTACTCGTTGATGTAATATTGGTTCAGCTCTAACACAGACGTACAGTCCAGACTACTGAATGGGAAGATAAACGGGCCGCCTGAAATCCGACGCAAATGCATTGTAACGTCGGACGCATCTAACATCTCTTTGGTTTGCGACACTGATTCCTGTCAACGGAAAGCTGCTGAGTAATGTGTGCATTTCACTGCGAAATAGGCCAAATGGCAGAGGTTTCAGGTAACGAGTATGTACTTTCCAATGGCAGAATAAGACAAGTTAGATTTATCCATTTAGACCATTTTGAAGTAAACATCTTTTCAGAGTACCACTGGTGAGGCATTCACTCCTCTAAAGCCTTGTGTATCACCTGTGAGAAAGTGGCACTTATGAAGACCTCTGCTGTCAGGTACGAGAGAGACCAAATTGGAAGCGTTGTCCGTTAATTATTTTGCGGTGACGTGAGTAGTCAGTCGTACAGTATTGGCAAAACCTATAAGTATATGTCAGATGATATGAGAATTTTATATATTTTCAAGGGCATATAGCGTGCGGGATCCTGTCATCACTGAAAGACTCGCTTTATTCAAAAAACAAACGGGTCTTTGGCATGATTTGTCCCCAAATCCTGCCGTTAAAATACCTCTTAAGTTCCTCGCAAGAACAGCTTACAGCAAAATATGGCATGTGCTAAAATTCGTAAGACATGGGCCCATAGTGAGAAATGGGATGTAGATGACTTTCACCTAGCTGCGAGTTCATCCATATTCACTGACAGGCTGACTTTCAGTTGGATATAACTTAACCATATGCAAAACTCGGCTTACTGAACGGTGAAAATTGCCTCATCCATGCAACAATGCTTGGTATTTAATACAAATTCTAAGTTAGGGAAGCTCCCGAAAAAGAGATTATGCAGTCTCTTATTAGAGAAAATTTGCTTTTCCCTGGGTTTTCGTCTTGGAAATCGAAGAGTTTCAATTATCTGGTGTTTGTTTGAGGCACAGGCGCTGTTTCTTGGGTGTTCTACGTTTCCATTTAAACTTTATGCATTTTATTTGGGTGTAGGGATGTCCAGTTATACCTCTACGTGATTTTCCTAGTGGGTCGCTTAGTTGTTTGCAGTTGACTCTGCCTAGCGTCCACTAACTGTCATTCAACTGTCACGTGTGGCCTAGCCGCCAGACGTCGGTGACCTCCTCAAGCGTTGGGTGAAACCCGGTCGACAGTATCCGGCACTATGTTTGTCCTTACACCCGATGAATCTGCTTTTCTTTCCATCGCTGCCCCTTCTCCCTATCCCATTTCCCTCATTCACAGCTCCCTCCACGCCCGATGTGACTATTCCCTGCTCCTCCTCCCCCCTCCCTCCCTACTTCTGTTCTCCCTCTTCTACTCCCTGCCCTCACAGTCGAAAGCCCTTCGGCGAAGGTGACATGCAATCAGGTAGGTGGCCCAAACCAATCGGGTCGTTCTCTCATTACGCCACTACGGGACCCATAGTGGAGAGCGGCATCCGTCTGGTGCAACAAAGCACCCCTATTTGGGGAAAGCACCGCTTTAAAGGTGCCCTAAGCAAATGATGGTCTCGTGATATCTGCGCGCAGATCAGGGTGCGAAATCATCAAACAAGAAGCGCCAACCTTTTTCTTCAGTCTCCTTCTCCATCGGCCCCTCTCCACAGGTTGCTAGGGCGAGTCCGCTCACTCTGGCAGCCTGGCACGCTCGATCTCTCTTAGAAAATCCGAGGAGAAACTGACTGGAACGGAGGGAACTGGCGCTGCAAGATGGATGATATCACTGCATCCAGCGAGATCCGGTTCTCTAAACAAGACCAGCTGCAGGAGGTGGGTATCAGTTACACCCTCCTCCAGAGCGGCCGCCTCAGGGCAGCGCGATGAGAAGACTACGTAGTCTTTGCCATCCGGAACGACATCGCGGGGCGACCGCTCTGCTTGCCGCAGAGCAGCAACTACCGACAGATGAGCCTGCACCTGCCTCTCTGGGATCTCAATTCACCATCATTTTCAACACCTACATTCCACCCACGACCAGCTCTGACGAGAAGACTGAGTTCTACGGAGACCCGCACACCATCCTGACGTCTGTACTGAAAATAGACAAGCTGTTCTGCGTCTGGACAGACTGCGCAGCCTGGAGGGGAATGTTGGGTACTGAAGGCATTTGTGGCTGCAACGACAATGGTCTACTTTTCCTGCGTAGCTGCGGTGAGCATGGCCTCCTGCTGATCAACACTCTCTTTCGCCTGCCGATGCGAAAAAAGGCCACCTGCCAACTATGAGAAACCGTCCATGCGACCGTTCTGGGTGTTCTCGGGTGCATACGTTTTCATCAGTAATATTGGTTCGATGATAACGACGCAGTCATCAGCAACCAGCTCGCCGAAAAGAACAGGCTGTATAGAGCCAATCTCGACTGTCCAACCGATGTAAACAAAGCGGCCTTCTACCAATGTCGCACAGCAAAGGTTACGAGAAATGCACGATGACTGGATGTCTCGCAAGGGCGAGGAGACACGGGACTATGCCAACCACAATGAGACAAAGGACTTCTTTGCTGCGATCAAGGCGATTTACTGCCTCCCATCGAAAGGAATCGGGCTGCTCCCCAGCTCCAATGAGTCAGCGCTTTCGGCAGAGAAGTCGCAGATTTTAAGGCGCTCTATCGAGCATTTCGGATGCGTCCTGAATCGTCGCTCCACAATCTCCGACAAGGCCATGACCGGCTCCCCCAAGTGGAAATCAACATCGACCTGGATTTCCCGCCCTCCCTTCCACAGAGCATCCGCGACGTGGAACAACTCTTCAGCAAGAAAGCACCAGACTCCGATTCTACCTCGGCTGAGATCTACAAACACAACGGCCACCGTCTGAAGGATCGCCTAACAGCGCTCATGCAGGAGATGTAACGTTGCGAGCAGGCTCCTCAGGATTTCAAGGACGCAACAGCAGTTCATCTCTACAAGTTCTCGAACGGACAGGAATCCTTATCATCCACGCCATATTGAGGCAACTGCAAATACGCTGGAGCGGCCATATCGTAAGGATGGAAGATACATGTCTACCGATGCAACTCGTCGACGAGAAGAACAAAACCGACGCCGTAGGGGCACTCTGAAGAACTTTCTGAAACTACTGCAGATCAACTCAGAGACCTGAAAGGACATGGCCAGAACATAACGTTCTGGAAAAGAGAAGTGGAGACCGGCGGAGGCATCTACGAACCAAGTCTAATCGCCACCAAGACCAAACGTTAGGCTAGAAAGTCACAAATACCTCGGTTCCTCAATGCCAACAGCCAGCCGCTTCCAACATCCCCACGCTGCCGAAGCAGATTCGGCTGGCGAACCGGCCGTGTAGGGAACCTTCGAAAGCAATGTACCAACAACCCGGCAACGCCAACTTCTGCTCCCGCTAACACTCCCACTATCACCACTGCGCGAAACCCGCGATGATGGCCACCCTCGTAACCAGTGATCAAAGTGTCGATGCCCCTTCACCAACGATTTCCGGGAATTTTCGCCTTGCCCCAACCTCTGTGTCAATCACAGCGACCACCTCCGCCAACACCACGACCTCTCACACTCGCTCCCACCAACGGGACGATAGCTGCCGCCCCGTCATCTGCTACCGTCACTAATAACACCCCCTACCTCAGCGATTTGAACTCGGTCCATAGCTGTCCTCATCACGATCGCACACTGACCTCACACATCTGCCCGGCCGGTCAATGGCGAATTCACCACACAGAGACTGGCGAATCAGTGCCTGAAGCACCAACCTACACTCCTCGCATCCGTCTCAACTGCCCTCAATACCCCGCACATTCAGCTTATAAGGCCACATGCGAATTCATGAAAACCTGCGGTGGACAGCCGCCGGCTACACCACAGGATCACACTTTCCCTCACCAGCACATGAACCACATAACATCACCCATAGCAAGTACTCAATTGCCACCCCTCCAAGCAAGTGGGAAGTGTGCCCCTCGACTCCATCTTCATGTGGCTCCTCGGCTACATGTGCGATCCGAGTCTGAGACTATCACGGTGAGCCAAGCACTGTGATTTGGAAGGTTGCCGAGTGACGAATCAACTCAGTCGACTCAGTCCGCCTAGTTGTGTGTGTTTATGGGGCTTGGCGGAATGTTGGGTTGAGAGTCGGGCTGCAACGGCTCCCTCTTAAATTGACCTCTGTAACTCTGTGATGAACGTGTATGTGTGGTTACGGGTAGTGTCTCTCTCACTGGTTATCCGGCCTTGAAGAGCGATGACCTAGGCTATATGCAGGGCTGGTTATCACCCTTGCTGGCTTTGAGGATTGTGTGATCATGCTAGACCACGCCTCAGCAGACCATGGCACTTGAAGCCCAGTGTGCGGTCACAGATCTCTAGCACCTGATTTTCTTTTGTTGGATGCGTTTGCGCACCTTCTCGCGCCTTCGGTCTTCTTGACTATGTCTTGATACCGGGCTCAGGCGAGGGAGGAGGAGAGAGGGGGCGGTAGATGCTGTGCAAGTCCACGACCACTTAAATCTAATTCATGCCGAGGTCGCCGTGCATGCTCTTAGCCTGCTGTCAGCACACGATGGAAGTCGTCGAAACCGACAGTCCAAATCTTATGCATTTCATTTTCCAGATGATACAAAGGGATGATTTAATGATTGCAACATACTGTAATAGATGTTGACGGCTATGCACAGGGCATATGTGTGCTTGAACACTTCTTAAATAGCATAAACAAATCTTCAGAGACTAACACAGCTGAATAATAAAGACAGTACCCAAATGTTGTATAACTAGCAATTTCAAAAAGAAAAACCCGCTCCCTTAAAATGACAAATTCGGACTAAGCACGGTGTGCTATCAGTGGAGCAAAAGAAAGCTATATTCCGTAAATCCTGCCTTAAATTTTGGTTAATATAACGGATATAAAAATAAACTGGTCACCGTGCAAAATGATTCTGGTAGCTGACAAAATATTCCGTAAGAGTGTCTACACATTACCGTAGATGAATTAACCTGCAGCCACAAATAGCCAATGCCAGTATCGGAGTCTCATTTAAACAATCCATTACAGTCGAATGTCTACTTAACAACATTTGTTCCTGGTTCATGCACTTCAATGAATAATACACATACTGATTTTATTTTGCAATCAAGTGTGTATATAGAATTTTTTGAAAAGTAGACGATAGCCAGTATACCGATTGAGTCGTTTCCCTCATTCATTCAGCAGTATATACATCCTGCATAAACAAATGTGATTTTCTAACACAGTCGTATTGTTTTGCCGTAAGACTGAATATTTTGTTATCTTTTGCAAAAAATTTTGTTTTGCCTAAATGTATTGTTTTGAACATCAGCCACGATTCCTCAAACAGAACTAGATGCATGAGTCTCAAAATGTCTTTAGGTGGGGACAAGATTATTCGTCCTTCCTTTTTTTGCTGTTCTAGGCCTACTATGTACCATTTTCTGTTGTTATGCAGTCTGCCTTATCGATGTTTTTTTAATCACGAAAATGCCATTTAAATTTTTCTCGGAATTATAGTTTCAGTAATTGGCCAGTTATATGCAGATTGAGAATAAGGATGCGTACACCCGCCGTAATTCAAATTCACCTACCATACGATCCAATGACCATAAATATCAGACAGTCTTTTGACGCAAAAAGAGTCGGCGGATAATAGCGTCCACGATTTCAGACGCAGTAAATCATCTAAGTATGATTTGTACACTGAATCGCGTCGGTTTTCAGATAAGATAATTGCATTGTTAACTCCCCTATCTAATAAAAAAGATTTTCCCACTGTTTCCTATAGAAATAGCGATTGTCTGATGTGATTTTGAAGTTATAGACACAGTTATATCAACTTGTTCGTAACGTGACTAGGCATTTAGTAGGATATGGGAATATAGTACCGTCGTATTAAAAGAGACATTGCGCTAAATTCCAAGAGCTTTGGAGGAGGAGTTAATGTTAGGGTCGTTGTTAATACTAAAGCTAGGAGGGTTGGGATAAGGGTTTAGATTAAGGCTGGGACGTTGGCATAGGTATCCTCTGGGGTCTAGAGCAGTCACCAGTAATATGGAAGGATACCTGCTCCAATGTTCAACCAAAGTTTTTACAGTGAAATCCATCGCACAGGTTCTTGCAGTTTTAACGCTAGCCCAAATATGGTTTGTCAGGAACCCCAAATGCATGTTTCCATCCAAAAGGGCTCGTGGCGTGTAAAACAAGTGCGCGCAGGTGTTTCAGAGACTTTAATTGCCAATCCTGCTAGTAGTAAATTCTAAAGTTAAGCGATTGGCCGCTGGCGAGGACATTCCCTACAAAGCATTCTGAAATCGAGTTCTTTCTACTTCTGTTTAAGCCAAGTTTTACTGACATAGAAATTAAAAACAAAGATTTAAATCGATGCTACCCAGAATGGGAGCTTTTCACCCGTAAGTTTCCTAGAAAGTAGCCAGTTACGCATCAGGTACACATTGACTGGTGACTATATTCCTTAGTATTAATCTTGCAAATAATCCTAATGATTATTTTTTCGACGAAATCATATTGAGAGAGTTCGGAAAGTTTCTTAGGCTGACTGTGTACTGTATTTCTGCTTACGTTCTCGCATTACAAATGCCTTGACACTTCGACATTGCACTTTCATCTATGACGTACGGGATGCGTGAACACCTAAAAATTTGGCTCTATTCAAAATTACAGATTTTGCATTTTCACCTCTTTTACAAGAAGCCTGGCAGATGAAGTTTTGCTTTTCGACCAGAGTGTGAAAGCAAGGCAATATTACTAAATTATACATCAGTATGTGCATATTACTCATCGTACTGTTGTAGATATAGTATTTATTGTTGACTGAGTAGGCCCCCAGCAACTAAACCGATATTATAGATGTAGTAAGTAAGATCATATTATGTCGCATGTCTATTAGTATTGCATGCAGATGTAGGTAAAAATTTATGGATTTGAGCAGGTTTTTGTATGAGAGTCGCGCGTCCTTTAGGCTCCATGCATTTGTACAGACGCATCAACTACCGACCATAGTATGATCTACTTTTCAATCCATCCATATTGTTCAGGAATAGTAGTTTTTTGCTTCATAGTTGCCCTACCCATAGACGCACTTAGGACTTAAGTAGTTCAAGCAATTGTAATACAGGGCGGGGTTTCAGATGTTCCGATTATCGTCATAGAGAACTCTTTGCCAATAAAGACGATGTCTCTATATTTCATTATCTTGGATCCTCGGGTGCGATGCCATGTGTTCAGTAAAGATGAACAATTGAAAGTCATGAATTTATGAGTATTTCAAGTCGGGATTTAAACGCCTGGTATAAGAAAATTATACGCCCAGCTGACAAGAGTATAAATCTGAGAGACCGGACTTGCGTTTGAGATGAAACTTAATGGTAGCAAAAAATACAATGACATATGGGCACTCCAGCGTCCAGAGTTCTCGTTTATAACAGCCATTGATGGACAAACTGTTCCCATTTGCGATTAGTAATTAGGGTATCAGAAAGTTTTCATTTATGGAGGCGTTTCAGGAAGTTAGTCACAAAAGTCAGCTCGCGGCAAAGAAAAGAGTAGCTGGGACAAGGCAGCATCAAGTTTTCTTTACGGACTGGCAGTACGGATATAAAAAATATACTTTTGGCGTTGGGCTTCTATTTGTTTAACAATGATGGTAGAATTGTTTTCGGCTATAGTAAATCCATTAATTATTGCTCCTTCGCAGAAAATGAACGGAGCATCGTTCTTCCAATAAAGTTGGTGCTATTCATGGTAGACGTTCATGTAAATTTGGGGACCCAACCTGCTTCAATCGTAACAATAAGTTTCTGATACCTCCAGGATGCATGGCAGAAATCGCATAGACAGCACGGAGGATTAA